GGCGGGGCGTCCCCCGCGCAGGCGCACGCGCACAGGGTCCCGCCGAGCTGGTCCTGGCTTGACGCGGTGCTCCGGTGCCTGTCCGAAGCGCGAACCCTGCTGCTTCCTGCTGGCGTTCTTTCGGCCGGGAACGCCAGTCCAGCGTGGAGTGCGTGACCCCTGATGTCCGGAGGGCTTTCCGGATCTTCGGCGTCGCCGCAGCGCTGCCTCGATGGCACCGCCACGGCCCGCCTGGGCTCCAGGCCGATTTTAGAGACCGGAGGCCAGGGCTTGGCCGGAGCGCCCCGTGCGTCCCTGCAGCGCCTGCACCCTACGGCCTGGCACGTGCTGGCCTTCGTGTCCTGTTGAAGCTAAGCCACTTGGTGCGACGTCGTTTTCAGACTGTGATAGGGTAAACCAGACCTCTCTCTAAGTCCAAACAGAAAATGTGAACTTAGTCCAGGCCGCAAAAATGACCCAGTGTCCCCCTCCTGGGCGGATGAGAGGCAGTTCTTCTGTCTGGTCTTCCAATTAGACTACCATACCCATGGAAGTAACCTCTTCCTGACACCGTCCAGAGCAAAGCTCCACGTCCTTAAAGGCCACCCCAAACAAACCGACACAGACCCAAACCTTACAAGTCCTTTCCAACAACCTCTTTTTTTAAAAAAACATTTATTTATTTTAGTTGTAGATATACTTTATTTTTATGTAATAGTGAGGATCGAACCCAGGGCCTTGCATGTGCTAGGTGAGCACTCAACCACTGAGCCACAACTGTAGCCCCCCAACAACCTCTTATCTGAGTTTCCCAGTTAGGTATTCTCCCCCGATGCAATGAGTGAGAAGACCAGATGTGACCCAGCTGCTCTCCGCCTGTAGGACATTGACTGGGTCCCCCAAACTTCTATGCCGCTCATCTACCTGCAGCAGATGAAATGCCTCCTCGCTTACAGCAGAAATACTTGGAAGTAACAACAATCAGTCTCCATTTCCTTGCCTCCTACCCACTTCTCAGTCCACCCCAATCTAGTTTCTCCCCATCACTTATCCAAAAGAGGCTCTTGCTAAACTCACCAGGACTTCCCACTTGGGTTAAGTGGAACCAACCTTTTTGGTCATCATCTTACTCCCATCTCAGCAATGTCTGTCTCTTGGCCTCTCTTTCCCTTTGGTTTGTAGAATTCATCACTCTTCTATTTTTATTTCTGTTCTCTGGCTTCTCCATCTCTGTCTCCTTTACAGGCTCTTCTGTCTTGCTATTAGATGAAATTCTTTTAAGTCCTGATCTGAGTCCTCATTCCATACTCTGTCCCTTGGTAATCTCATGCTCGCCTGGTTGAATTACCACCCAAATGAACATAGTTTGCTAATTTACATTTACTGCTATACCAGATCTGTGTTCATGTAAGTATCCATGTGATTTCTCCTGGATGACTCAAAAGTACCTCAACCTGTCCCCAGCTGAATTCACTTTCTCTGCTCCCCCCTCTTTCCTTCAACCTATTCCCTTCCAGAGTTGACACCACCCTCAATTCCCACTCCAGACACTTCCATAGAAGACAGGTTAAAAGGTACCCCCAATGCCCCCATCTCCTAATACTCAGATTTAGTGCAGACCCCTTGCTTTGTTTGTGGTAATGTGTGATTCCTTTACCCATGTTGGTAACACCCACCCTGCTAGGAGGCTCAGAGGAAGCTTCTGTCCCAGCCGACCTGGTTGCAGCCTTGCAGGGGCTCAGCTGGGACTGAAAATTGGGGAGTTGGTGCATGGACTCCAGGCAGAGGGATGTGGTGCTGTGCCCTGCAGCGGTGAGTATGAATACACTCTCCATCACAGGTTCTGTCTGCTTACCTCCCAAACGCCTTGCCTTGCAGCCCACCCCCGCCAAGTCTGTGTACAGAACAGCCTCCTTTCAGCCTTCTCCCTCGCCCTCAATCCCTTCTGCTTCACTTTCTTTCCCTTGTCCTGTGGGGTCCTTGGCTTGTATAACAGCATCAAAAACAGACATTTATTTATTTGTTCATTCATCCAATATTTGGTGTCAGGTGCTGAGAGTACAAGAACGAGCAGAGCAAAGCCAGGCACGATTCCTGACCTCCAGCAACTTCCATTCTGACCGAAGACTGTCATTATAGAACTAACTGCATATAAGTGTAAAATGGCAACCATGACAAAGTGGCAATGGGACAGGAGTCCAGAGGAACTGATGACCCAGCTGAAATCTGAGGGTCAAAGGGAACTTACCCTGGGAAAAGGAGGACACTCCAAGCCACAAGGAATCACCAGATGGCATTCCAAAGTGGCTGTCCCATCTTGCATTCCCACCAGCAATGGATAAGAGTTCTTGTTCCATATTCTCATGAGCATTTGGTGTTGTCAGTGTTCTGGATTTTGGCCATTCTAATAGGTGTATAATTAATTAGCTTTTTATTGAAAAGAGATGAATCCCTATAAGGATGAATTTTCTTCCTTCTTTCCTTCTTTCCTCATTCCCTCCCTCCCTCCTCTCTTTCTCTTTTTTCTTTTTGTACCAGGGATTGAACCTAGGGCACTTTACCACTGAGCTACATCCCCAGCCCCTTTTATATTTTATTTTGAGACCATCTGGCTAAGTTGCTAAGGTTGCTGAACTTGGTCTTGAACTTGAGATCCTCTTGCCTCAATTTGGGATTAGGGGTATGTGCCACTGTGCTGGGCCTGGGTGAATTTTCACAAAGTAAGTACACCTGTGTAACAAGGACCTAGATTAAAAAACAACATGCACCCCAGAAGCCACTTGTGGTTGTGACCTCCCAAGATCAGCACTCTGCCGTAGAAGGGTTTTGCTGGGGTGTGATCTTTATGGAAGCGAGACCATACAGTGTGTCTTTTCAAATCTTTTCACTCAACTTTGCATTTATGAAATTGATCTTCATTGTTAAGAGTCATAGTGCACTCCCTCTTGTTGCTATGACATAAGCATTTTTTTGCATGTACCACTACTTATTTATCCATTCTCATTTATCTGAATTGTGGCCAGTCAGGCAGTTACAAGTACTGCTACTAAGAACATTTGTCTAATTTGGTTGGCACAGATCCTTATTTCTGCTAGGATATGCCCAGGGGTGGGATGATTGGATCATAAGGTATGTTTATGTTCAGCTTAATGCTCTCTATAGTATATGTTTTTATTGTGGTAAAATATGCATAATAGAAGCTTTACCAGTCTCCAAAACCTTTCATCAGTTCTTCTTTCACTATCTGTCTCCAAAACCTTTCATCAGCTCTTTTTGTTGTTATTGTTCCTTGTGCATGTGAGGCAAGCACCCTACCAACTGAGCTGTACGTAGCCCTGTCATCTCAGATTTTAATGAAACTTCATCCTCATTAAAAGCTCACTCTCCCTCCCTGCAGCCCTGTAACTTTCATTGTTTCCTCTGCTGTCTTAGGCACCTCACAAACGTGGATTCCTACACTACTTGTTCTTTTCTCCTAGCATAATGTTTTCAAGATTCATCCATGTTGTCACATGTATCAGGACTTAATTACTTTTTAATGGCTGAACGATATTCCATTGAATGGATAGACCACATTTGTTTAAACATTCATTTGTTGATGAACACTTGACTTGTTTCCACCTTTTGGCTGTTGCTATGAATTTTGGTGTACAAGTATCTGTTTGAATCCCTGCTTTCAAGTCTTTGGGGTATATAACCACAAGTGGAATTGCTGGGTCACATGAGGATTCCATGTGTAGTTTTTTGTAAGAACCACTGTCCTGTTTTCTACAATGACTATACCATTTTATGTTCCCACCAACAACTGATTGTTTTATTTTTGATGACTGCTGGGCACAGTGGGACCCACCTATTATCCCAGCTACTTGGAAGGCTGAGGCAGTAGGATCATGAGTTCAAAGCCAGCCTTAGCAACTTAAAGGCCTCTAAGCAAATTAGCAAGACCCTGTCTCAAAATATAAAAAATAAAAGAGCTGGTGATGTGGCTTAGTTGTTAAGTGCCCCTGGGTTCAATCCCCAGTAACAAATATGTATATATATATAAAATCATTAAAGGTTATATTCATATTCATGTAAATCAATTTTTATAATTTCTATAATTAAAAATAGTTAAATTCATAAAATTCATTAAAAGTTATTAATATGGTATCTAAAAAGCCAAGTGGTACAATATTCAGGGAAAGAAGAAAAGTCAATGCAGACTTGAA